AATGTCAGGTGTTGCTAAGTGACGATTAGCTAACACTTTGACATTAATTATTACTGATAACTATCAACGAACCGATGGTTAATCGTTGATGGTTTCACAAGTAAGTAACTTCGGTTTATTTATGCACGGTCGTAGTTAATAGACTTAAGAGAGATAAATTTTGTTGGTTAAACCGAAACCGTTGTGTTGAGGTTATCAATCTCAATTGATTTCATCAAGGAGTTAAAAAGATTTAAATGCTACTATTAAATCGGTATAAGGCGTTGTTCTATATTTGATTAATAGTAAGAGTTATTAATGAACGGTCGTTGTTAATAACTACCCTCAATGAATTGGATATACTCCTCGATTGAGTATTCGAAAGGGGATAAGTTATAGATATAATAAGGATCGACTAAATATATCATCAAGTGGAAAGTAGCAAAGCCAAGTTCTTTTATCTTTGAATTAAATCACATATAAGTCATTCAATTTAGTGTTTAATTAAATTAAATCATTCAACCCCATAACCCCCCTTTAATTACTAGTTTCATATAAAAGACATTTATTCCTTTCCTTCTGGATACGAACTCTACTACACTATACTACATATTAGTGCTAGTATTGTATTTATTTTGACGCACTACGACAAAGTGTTCGTCAACTTCCAATTGGGATGGACAAGGTGGTGCCTAGTGATGTCACTCCGAAGTGGGCTCTTGGCCAAAGTAGTTGTATCCGGCACATTGATTTGATTTTTTGGCATAATGTGCTACTTTGCCTTGTAATTGAATCAGGATTGATCTGAGGCCATATCTGGCCGAAGGGTAATGTTACCCCTACTAGGGCTGAGGTGGCATCTTGCCATTAATTGATTGGGAGGATCTCACTTGATTTGTTCTAACTCTCAATGAAAGCACCAAATGATAGATTAATTATCTGGAGAGAAGGGAGAACTAGAGGGAATGAGGGATAAAGTGATATATATAAATGAATTTCTAACCCTTTACATGGCTCCCATATGTAGTATTTATAGGATAAAATGGGTTGGGCTTCCAGGCTTGGGTCTGGCAAGCCCAGTTACGATAAAAGGCCAATAAATGGCTAATAAATGATGTTTAATCTATTCTAATGGGTATAGATGAATAAATAGAGTGTACAATAAGATAAATGTTGTCTACTGACCATACGCGGGCCGCTGTCCGGGCCCAATAGTCATGAGACCGGGGTCCAAGTTCATATACTCTATCACATTTTATATTATAGTTTGAGAGCATTTCAAATGCCATAATGTGCACGTCGCACATATGACATCTGATTGATAAATACATTGAAATAAATAAAGGACATCTCTTTCGTTATATCCATGATTTTATTTCAAATATCGAATGATACATAAATACAAGGGGTTTCTTTAATAATTAATATATTAAAGCCCAATTTAAAAGAGTGATTGCTTTTACACATGTATAAAAATGTAACTAACAAAACTCCCCAATATGGAAGGAGATATGTAGGGTCAATGCTATAGGGGAGGAACATACTAGTGTAACTGATACTGGACAACTGATTTGGAACTCCTCTGATGGAACTTTCAGCTTAAAGTCTGCATACAATCTGATCAGAAATAAAACATTTGTTAAATTCGCTTTTAAAAAAGCATGGTATCCTAAACAGAAGCTAAATATAAAAATCTTCATGTGGAAATATCTCAATTCTAATTTGCCTTTCCTTGAAAACCTTTTGAGGTTCAATATACAAATGGCTTCAAGATGTCCCTTATGTTTTCATCATCAACAGGCTCAGGATCATTGCTTCTATTCTTGTTCTAAAGTTACGCCTATTTGGCATTACTACATGAGTTTACTGGAAGTTAACATCCCCCCACCATGAGATCAGACAGATTATTTTTTCTTGGTGGTTGGGGGCTACAGACAAATCTCTTTCTGGAATCTTGAGATATGTACTTCCGGGTGTTATTCTTTAGCATATTTGGAAGGTTATGAATGCGTCCATCTGGGATGATAAATCATTCGACACAGGTAATCTTATTCATCAAATCAGAACTTACACACACCAATGGTGTTTAAGTTATCGGGGCTCCAAATGTATAACAGAGGGACATGATTTATCAACTGATGGACTAATTCCGAAGTAGTTATCAAAAAGAAGAGGCAGAATCATGGCATGGAAAACCACTCACCCGCACTTGTTAAGACTTAATACTGATGTGGCTTTTGCTAATGGAAAATGTGCAGGTGGTGCTGTTCTTCGAGATGCCAACGGGACTTTCATCTCAGCGATTTCATTTCCATTTAAGGCCGGTTCTGTTCTGCAAGCTGAAGCCCGAACCATTTTGGAAGCTCTGAAATGGTGTAAAGGAAAGGGTTACGAGAGGTTTCAAATCGAAACTGATTCAGAACTCTTAGGTAAAGCTCTTAATCGCCAACGAAACCTACCAGAGGGGTTCCATATTTGGATGATATCAGTAGGGAAATTGAAAATCTTCATGCCACCATCACTCGTGGTTATCGGGAAATCAACTCCGTAGCACACCTCCTCACGCAGGAAGGGCTCCAGGCGACCAATTGCTCCTTCTTCTCTTCCACCAGTGAACTTTCCATATCGCTTCTTGTCCAATTAAATTTTGATGCTCACCCAATTTAGCTTCATTTACTTTCCTTCTGTATTTCGAAGAGGAATGCCTCTCGGGAGAGGTTTTGCTTCGGCCCCCTCTCTCTTGTAATTTTCCAGCATTTTAATAAAAATGGTCAAATGTTCCCCGACATTTGCCCCACTGATTTTGGTGGTTACCTTTTGGGTTAAAAAAATGCAATTAACAAGACAATAAAAATAGAAAACAATGAACATCACCCAAAAATATTATGCAATTTTTTATTAATTATATCACTACTAGTTACTTTCCATGTTAGTACGTTGATCTTATCTAGCTAGTCTATTTCAATCTGATTTGATATGTTTGAGAGTGAAATCATTCGAATTAAAAACATTCTACTATTTTTTGTTACACGTATTTTTTCTAATATTTGAACCAGAGAATTCTAATGTTCTTATTGACCGACAAATGAGATTGGTGAAAAAGCACTAATATAATTAGAGCCCGTTTGGTAACACTAAAATTGGCTGCATTGACTGATTCTGCTGAAATTTATGAAGTTCTGGTTGAAGTGGCTATATTGGCTGATTCTGCTGATTTATGAAAAAATTATCTTTAAAATATTTGTTATTAATAAATTAAATAAAAAATTATATGAAAAAATAGCTAAAATGATCATCTACAGTAACTTGAGCCAATACAGCCAGAAAAGTAACTCCACCCTTACTTTTTCTGCTTATTACAAAATTCAATGCGCGAAATCAAAAATTACGTGTTTGGTGAAAAAGTTGGCTGATAAGCCTGATAAGCCGGAAAAGGGGGTCACCAAACGGGCTCTAAAACTACATTAGTCCCAACTTAAATTTCTCGTTGAGAATTAATGGGTATACAACATAATGAGGTGAATGATGATAAATATGATGTTATATGTGTATTAAGTTTAATATTTGATGTTTAATTTATAATTCAAGTGTGCTAATTATTTTCTAGAATGGATATGAGAAGCTTTAGCAAAGCTAGAACGTCTAAAAAAGGCACGTAAGAATAGAGGAGTTTTTGAAGATGTTAAACTGGTAGTACAGAATAGGACCCCCAATTTATGGAAGCGTATACCATACAACCGGATGTACAGTGTCAGTCGTACAACCGGTGGTAGTTTTGTAATTTTGGTGAGAAACACAGCTTCTCGTGAATGAGCATTAATGTAATTTTGGTGAGCATCAAGCCTCTTGTTTTGAGTAATAGGAGCCTAAGAATGAGTATCAGTGTTCTCTACTTCATATGTTCTAATTTACTTTCTTTTTTATTATTTTTCCTTTATAAAAGTTCTTAAATTATGAGCATGTTTGGTGAGTCTGTTTTTCGGCTTATCAGACAACTTTTTCACCAAACACGTAATTTTTGACTTCGCGCGCTGAATTGTGTAATAATAAGAAAATGTAAGGTTGAAGTTACTTTTCTGGCTATATTGGCTGAAGTTATTTTATGATCGTTTTAGCAATTTTTTGTATAAATGTTTCTTTATTTTATTAATAAAATATATTTTAAATATAATTTTTCATAAATCAGCAGATTCAGCCAATACAATCACTTCAACCAGAAATTCATAAATTTCAGCAGAATCAGCCGCTTCAGTTGATTTCAGCATTACAAAACAGACCCTATGTCTATAATCAATTCCAATTAATTTCAATAAGTTAATCTAATGTAGTATGATACATTTAAATGTGCAACATTTTCAAATGAGTATAAAGCGGTCGGGACAGAATATAACGAGCATATATGAGTAATGTAACTTACAAAATGAGTATCAAAAAAATAAAAAGCACATTTTTGTCTGCTCATTCATTTTGGGCGTATACTCATATTATTATTATTATTATTATTATTATTATTATCATCATCATCATCATCATCATCATCATCATCATCATCATCATCATCATCATCATCATCATCATCATCATCATCATCATCATCATTATTATTATTATTATTATTATTTTATTATTAGGGAAAGTTCCTGAAATAGGACTACAATAGTTTCAAAATTCCAAAATGGGACTTTCATGTTTCTTATTCCCAAAATAGAACTAATTACTGCCATATTTAGAAAATATTGTCATGTTTAGTTTTATTTTGGGAATAAAAACACGACAATCCTATTTTGAAATTTTCAAACTGTTTTAATCCTATTTCGAGTAATATCACTTATTATTATTAGTTTGTTTGAAATAATTTCAATTATTATTATTAGAGTAATACTCCGTAGTACATTTGATGTTGTATGAGAGAGAAAAAAGATGGTTTTTACTGTCTGATTTTTGGCGCACGACAGACCGAAAGACGTATAAAGGGCAACGTATTTCAAACTCTTTCTTCTTCCTCCTCGTGTTTTTGCCAACTCATTTCCAGTTCCGTTACTTCTTCAATTTGTATGCAGAGAGTAAGCCGCGTCATCTTATAAGTATCACGCCGCCCCACATATACGTTACAACAACTTATGATTTCTTCTCTTCCTCCACCGCTCCCTGAGTCCATAAGCATATATCACGCAGATAGATTACAGTCAGATCATCGTACGTTACCGATCAACTTCCCTCCAGTGAAACTTACCTGCATTTTCGTCGATCGAAGGTTTTTGTCTATGAATTCTTCTTCTTCTCGGTCCTCCTCAGTCGTTAACCTGCATAAACACCAACTTCATGATAATTCTTTGTTTTGTCGGTCGAATTTGTTTGGTTTTGTGATGTTTTATGCTTTCTTTAGTTTGAGAGATCATCCCACCATTCCTACTTTGTCAATTACTTGATTTGATTTTGTGATTTCAGCAATCCACTTAGATAGATCATTCGGGGTTGCTGCATTTTACGTTTTTTATGTAGCAAAGATTGAATCTTTTCTGGCTAGATGGCTATACTCCATGAATGAGTTTGTGCTTTTATTCACTTATTTGTAAAAAGGTTCATTCTTTGTTCTGGATATACAGCAAAAGTAAACAATTCTCTTCTGGGCAGATGTCTAATTTTCATGAATGAGTATTTTTATAACTTTAATTTTTCTTTGTGTTTTCATAGAGCAAAATCATACTCGGTTTATATAATTCTGAATGTGGGTACATGGTCTTAAAATGTCAAATTTGGTTTTCCAATAACCATATAATCAAGTCCATCATTTATCTGGAAGATGCAAAGTATGAATGTGGAATATGCACCTCTCTTTGAACATTATACATGTACTGCTACAGAGCTGCTAATAGGGTGTGGTCAGAATAGGTTATTTGTCTCATATATTAACTAAATACTTTTACTACTTCCTAATTGAATGTCTGTTTTAATTAGCTCATACTATAGTATAATACTCCGTAGTATTAACTTTTATACCATTTGAGCAATCCGCTGAGATAGATCACTCGCGGATGCTACATTTTATCTCATTAGTTTAAGTGTGAGGCTGGGAACGTGCAGAGATGGATACAGAGCGATTTCAACCGGGGTTGCATCCTCTTGGTCATGTTTCTCAGCCAATGATCATCTCCACTCATCACCATCATCATTGGTAAAAAGATTTTTTCTTTCTGTTGGGTAATAACATAAGTCAAATCTCTTCTGGGAATATATCTAAATTTCAGGAATGAGTATTTCTTTATAAATTTAATTTTTCTTTGTGTTTTCATATAGCAAAATCATATGGGTTGAGATAATTAAGCTAAAATAGGCCCTCAAACTAACTTATATAGGAAGCTTTGTCCGTCTGTCGCCATTTGAGGAGGTTTCCTCTGCAAAATCATACGGGTTGATGAATTTTTGAAGATAACTGTGTAGTTATACAGCGCAGTACATTTCAGAAAATCATTTGATTGTCTTCCCGGTTGAATTTTTTCTGAAATTTGGTATGGGTAAACTAGACTTAATGAAGAAGGATGATCAAAAAATTTATCAAAAAATTCCTCCTGGAACCACCTTAAACGGCGACGTCCGGACAGAGCTTCCTATATAAAGGGTGATTTGCACTTTTTAAGTTAGTTCGAGAGCGTATTTGACCCTTTAGCCTATTTTTTGTTTCTGAATTCTTTCCAAATTTCATGAAAAAGTCAAATCTCTTCCGGGAATATGTCTAAATTTCATGAATGAGTATTTCTTTATAAACTTAATTTTTCTTTGTGTTTTCATATTGCAAAGTCATACAGGGTTTAGATAATTCTGAATGTGGGTGCATGGTCTTATGTCAGTTTTGTCTTTCAAAGAACCATATAAGGGATGATTTTTATAATCAAGTCCACCGTTCATCTGGAAAGATGCAAAGTATGAATGTGGAATATGCAACTCTCTTTGAGCATTATATATATACTGCTGCAAAGCTGCTATGTGGTCTGGTCAGAATAGGTTACTTGTTGCATATAGTAACTAAATGCTCTTACTACTTCCTAATAGAATGTCTGTTTTAATTAGGTCATACTATAGTATAATACTCCATAGCATTAACTTCTATACCATTTGAGCAATCCACTTAGATAGATCACTCGCGGATGCTGCATTTTGCGCTTTCTACGTGTTGTATATAGCAAAGTTCAAAACTTTTCTGGGTAGATGGCTATACTTCATGACTGAGTTTGTGTTCTTATTCATATATCTGTAAAAATATTTTTTCTTTCTGCTTGGTATATAGCAAAATTTCATGACTGAGTATTTTTTATTAATTTAATTTTTCTTTGTGTTTTCTTATAGCAAAATCATACAGGGTTTAGATAATTCTGAATGTGGGTGCATGTCTTAAAATGTCAGATTTGTCTTTCAAAGAACCATATAAGGGATGATTTTTTATAATCAAATCCAACATTCATCTGGAAAGATGCAAAATATGAATGTGGAATATGCAACTCTCTTTGAGCATTATATATGAACGGCTGCCGAGCTGCTATATGGTTACTTGTTGCACATACTAACTAAATACTTTTTTACTACTTCCTAAAAGAATTCTGTTTTAATTAGTTCATAGTTTCATACTATAGTATAATAGTATGAACTTTTATACTATAGTACACTCTCTAAATTAATTCACTTTTACTACTTCCTAACTTGAACTTTTGTATTCTGTATCTAAATTATTTCACTTTAAGCTTGGATTTTCTTGATTAGGTGAGCAATAACAAAGATACCTTTGGTTGAGGAGGTAAATAAAAAGAGATTTATAAACATGAATGATCAACAATCAGATTCTGGATTCCTCAGTCTTTTTGATGTAGACAAGTTCTTCTATTATTCCTATGGAGAGAGTGGTCAGCCTGAAGCTAGAATTGGTCAACAACAGCATGCTGGTGATGACTATGTTTACTATAACAACACCAATCCAGATGAGGAAATTGCTCATGCGTTTCAAAACCAGCTCTCAATTACAGGAGAATCTAGAGCTTACTATACCGAAGGGTGTTATCATGGCCAGCAATTCTCCAGTGATGATGGTGTCCAGTCATGGCAGATTAGAGATGACTATCCAGAATCTGCCTTTTTGGTTCAGCCGGGGCATGCTGAATCAAAGGATCATTTTTCTGGTACTGTTACGTTTTCAATTTTTTATCCATATGCTCCTTACATATATTAGCATTACATATGCCATGATCAGTGAACTTTATATTATTCTCAGGAAATAATAACGAAGTTCCAAAAGAGTCTATTTGCTTTGGACCATCTTCCTCGAGCCACCCTGCTGAAGACAGATGTTCAGGTGGTGAAGAACCCAACCAGGCGTTGGCAATAAAATATGAATCAGAGTTTGATGTTGATATCGCGAGGCAGCTCAATGAAGTTGATGTTGTTCTAGTGAGTATACATTTTGTTGCAATTATTTTTATAGCACACTGGAATTGAGATTTATATTGCACTCCTTTCATGCAGCTCGTTCCTAGAATAAATACGCATGTACCCTCGGACGATGAAGCCACATCTCATAAAGAAAGGCTTCTAAATAGGTAATTGTTAGTCTTTGGAAAGGTTTTCAACAGAGACATTAATGATATTTATTAGACAAACTTCATTTTGAAGTTTGAACTTGTTTTTCCTTATTATGTTTAGGTGTAATGACTTTTAAAACATGAATGCAGAAACACTGACAATGTAATTTATGTGCATGTTTAGTGCAACGTACTACTGTGTGAGCTAATAACCTAAAAACAATATAGAGATACTATAAATACCCAATTAGTAGTAATTGGACTAAGACGTTCTTTGCTTTTAAAAGTTTATCAAAGTAAAAATTATGCAAACTTCCTGAAAACTTTTCATTTGAAAAAAGTTCTTTTTACTTTTTCATGATATTTGCATAATTCTTCCTTTGGACATCTTGAATCCTTTTCGTTTTTCATTAAGGTTGTTAGTGACTATAACATTTGGACAAAGTTGTTGTTACTTACTTTATCTTCTGCACTTTCACTATTTCTGTTTTTAGATTGCAACGTTGTGGCCTGGTTGAGAACATAGTTGAAGGGGATGGGAACTGTCAGGTTATCTCCTTCATTCCACCATTTAGATGCAGAGTTCTTTCCCATACTGACATTTAAGTTACACCTATTTTATTTTGGTTTTATCTTCCAGTTCCGTGCTCTATCAGATCAGTTTTATCGGATGCCCGAACATCACAGTTTTGTGAGACAACAAGTTGTTAATCAGGTGATTCTCACTATATCTTATTTTTACGGATACTTAATATGGATTTTCTTGAGCACCTATTCATTGTGAACTTTTATAATTTTCAATCCCAATCAGCTTATGAATCACCCAGAGATGTATGCTGCGTATGTACCAACGGTGTATGGTGATTATCTAAAGAGGATGATGGAGTACTACTCACTTCTTCTCCCTTGATTTATTTTTCCTGTTTCTTTAGTTTCATACTGTTCTTATCTTAACTAAATAAGGTATGCATGTTTTAATTACTATTAACAAATTCAGGGATGGAGAGTGGGGTGATCATGTAACATTGCAGGCTGCTGCTGACTTGGTACTAATCTAGTTCTTCTTTACAAATAAGTTTATATTACATATAATAATATTTGGTAGTAACATATGTTTGTGATACTTTTTACTTGTTGAACAGTATGGTGTGAAGATTGTTGTCATAACATCATACAAGGAGACATGTTTCATCGAGATCCTTCCAAGGACACAAAAGTCAAATAGAGGTAATTTCCTTTTGATTCTTCTAAATGTGGTACATTTCTAACTTTCTATATATCAGATGAAACAATCGAAGAGAAATTTGTTATGGAAAATGCATTTATTACATGGAGAAACTTTTCTATTTTAACTAACTGGAAAGATCAATACAACAAATGAAAATAATGGCAGATTGTGCATTGCAAGATAGGATTTTGTGTGTAGCTTGACTTCTACCTTTCCTGTAAGAGAACCAATTTCCAGTAAGAGAAGTGATTAGTTTCATCATCTCTACTTCTATTGATCATATCTTCAAAGAGGAAAATATGAGTGTGGCCTTAATAGATAGAGCTCTTACTAACATTTTTCCAGTAAGAGTTTTGTATTAGTAAGACACTAATACTTCAATGATGAACACAGTGCTAATATTTTTTCTTGTTGCGGTGTATACAGTAATGTTTTCCATCATTTGCAATGGAGCCAAAGATTCACTATTTTTTGGCTTGAGAATATGATGGAATAAAGCAAAATGGCTTACTAAACTGTCTGCGCTTCTTTGATGTGAAGTAACAGTCAGTCCACGTATTTTTTGACGCGATTTTCACTTTGGGTCATTCGGAAACAGTCTCACTGTGCTTTAGTACAGGGCTAAGACTGCGTACATCCGAGTATCCGACCCCCCCTTACCCCACCGTAGGTGGGAGCCTTTGCGGCACTGGGGTAATGATGATGGTGTATACAGTAATGTCCTTTCAAAACTCTGTGCATACTGTGTGCAGTGTGTGTGGATCATGTGCATATTTTGTGCAATAGATTAAAAGATTTCATTTCCCAATTTGAGCATCAGTGTAGTTTTTCTTATGGTAATGTGACACTTTGACCTTTTATCTCTCCATGCAGTCATATATTTGAGTTTTTGGGCGGAGGTGCACTATAATTCAGTTTATCCTCATAAAAGAGGTATCGACCACTCGGATCAAGGGATTCATACTTCTGAGGAAGTCAATTCTAGCTGCTCTCCTGCAGGTGAGTGTACATAAAAATATTTCTATTAGTTTACAGTGTCAAATTTTGTACTACTGAGGAAGTAGTATTTCAAATTATGTTAGAATGTACTCACTGATTGATTCAATAGTTCCTTCTCTAATCACTAGAAATGATTATTTCAGTTGCAAGTTCTCGCGTGGGAGACTTGAAGGTGAAGAAAAAGAAGTGGTGGAATTTCTTAAAAAAGAAATAGAGGTAAATAGAGAAATTATAGAAGGGAGACAGCTTTTTTCAATGACTTCATTTTTATTTTTTTCTCTTCTTGAGCAGTTCATTTGATAAGTGCATGTGCGACTCTGAAAAGGGTGTTGCTCCACAGAAAGCTCAAAGATTGGATCTTTATCGAGTTTTGCTAGTGCAGGCTTTCCAGAAGAATGAATAGCTCTGTGTTCTGTCCACAAATCCAGAGGTGTTTGTCTTATGTGTTTTAGATGCCCCAAGCTATTGGTTTGTTAGCTTCGGGGATTATTAGGTTCTTTTTGCATCCCCATTGTGTACAGTATACGCTATTCACCCACCTAGTTACTGTTCTTGATGTTCTTTTTGCTGTCTTTTTTTATTATAGCATTTCTCGTGAATCAGAATCTCTGGTGGCAGTTTGCGGATTAAATGAGATGTTTTCAATTCCACAATGCTCAAAAAAAAGAAGGGAAAGAAAGACAGTGAAGTCAAATGTGCCACCCTCAACCCGCTCTATGTTTTCTCATGAAACACCAGTGCGTAGTTGTTTGATGCAGCTGTTTATGCAGAGATATTTGGTGATAGTACTTAGATGGTTGATGTGTAAAATGGGCTTTTCCATCTACATTATTAGCTAATTGAAAGTTCTATTAACCAAACATTAAAGCTAACTCACTGAAATAGTATTAAAAGCTAGTTTGCTTTGGAAGATCTAAAAGCATTCCAATAGACTCTTTAAAACATAACCACTAGTCTGTTCTTGGCTTTACAACATAACCAGTTTGCTTTCTGCCTTGATGGATTGCAGGGAGGGGCACGATGTATGGTTGGCAGTAGTGAATGCTGTTGAGAATAAAACCTTGTTTGGCTGCTGTGCAGAGATTGATAAGAGGTAAATTCAGAGGTAAATCCATTTTGTCCTATTTTTTTATATTTTTTTATACATCGGAAAGGAATCCTATTTTTTATGCAAATATATGCATCTGCTTTAGTTTATTCGCATGAAGGGATGAATTTTCAGCTTCCGTTGGTATTACAAATACCCCTAACACATACATTTCTGTTTTATTTCCAGACTTTGAATCATCAAATTTTTTGTTAGATGAGCAACAGAGTGCAAAGCTTTCAGACTTCGGGTTAGCTATACTTGGTATGGTCCGCCCTCAAGATGGACAATCTCATGTATTTGCTGGAGACACTCAAAACATATATAATTGAACATTTTTACTTGAGTTTTACCGGGAAAGGCATTTTATTGTTGTAACAATCGAGATCCTAATGATATTAATATAAGCGATTTTTCCCTTCAAAAAAAAAAACTAGACAAAAACGTAGCCATTTAAATAATTTTATTTTGATATAAACTAAAATTTTTGAGTACATGAAGACTTCAACAGATAAATGTCTTCTATTGGAGCATGATTCTAAAGTATGTACATTCTTATTTGCACGTCTCTAGCATTCACTACTCAAAAGTATCTTACTTATTAGCACGGTTGACCAGAGGTTTACAAAATAATGTGTCTATTAACGTAACCTTTCCAAATGAAAACATTAATTGTTGCAGAAAAATAACATAGGGTCATTTTTATTGATGAAAATCACACATAACATAGGAAATTTTAAGCCGAATATGAATATAGAAAAATAACTCTCCTCATCCATGCATGACGCTGAAAGAACCATTTTAGTTATGAAGTAGCTAGTTCCACTTGGTCCAGAACCGTCATTATTGATTCGAACATATGAGAAGGGGCCATACAAGCTACCTCTATCCATTGGAGTGCCTAGGTCATGAGATTGAACTTGCATCAGGGGCTCCTTTAGTGTTTCATAAGTTTGAGAAGAAAGTGTTTCCAAGCTATGTTTCATATTCTCCAACTCATGCAATTATAGATTTGAAATAAGTAGTCTACCTTTTTTAGATTCACAGTGAGCTTGACTTTCGTTAGATCCTGAACAAGAGATTCCATGTCACTTATATGGGGTGTAATGGTTCTCATGTTGTCTTCATAATGTGCACGAATAATCTCATCTGTCACACCTGTCTCGGGTGTAGCGTTTTCACCAAAGTATTTGTTAAGCACTGCATCGACACTTGGGCTTCCAAAAGTATAAACCTTATCTGTAGGTGAAAATACCACCATAGCACACATATCCACACCACACAAAGTAGACAACTCACTAGCTTTTTTGAATATGCCAGAACGACGTTTGGAAAAATGTTACTTGACGGTTAATGTCATTCTCAATTTTGGTGAGATGGATCCTTTGGCGTCCCCTACTAACTCTCTTATTCTCATTATTGCTAGACATTCCCCAAAGCAATATGATATATTTGGTTGAAATAAAGTATTGAGATAACTATGGTGAAGGTGTAGAGATAGTTATGGATAGTATTATTTATAGATAACTGATGGTATAATTATCTTAACCATGGATAAATGTTGATCGGGTTAACATGGATGAAAACAGGTTGAAAGTTGATGTGCACGGTAACTATGTACGAATGATGATAAGGTATAAGAGGAGCTCATACGTGGTGACCACGCGCAAGTTAAAGGATAAAAGATTGTACATGGTGACTGTGGACGGAAGTTAGTAGAAGACCAGGGAGCACGGGGTAACCATGGATGTCATGTTTAGCTTATCCAAAGAGCACGTCCACAGCAACCATGGACGCAAGTAGAAGACCAGATTGCACTATAGCCTTGGATGCCATGGCTAACTTATATATGGAAATGTCCACGGCGACCCTGGACATAGTAGTAGAAGCTTATCCAAATAATCTACACATGGTGTCCCTGGGCATCATGGCAAAAGCTACATGGCGACTCCGTACGACAAACTACATCAACGACGTCTTTTCAAGATATTCACCCAATCAACAAAGGATTCCGCGGATCCGGATTATTGATTTGCATATCAATTCGAACATGGCGACCACGTCGCCCAAATCTTTTATGTCTTATTTTCTACTATAAAATCATGTAATCTTTGGAAAGATGAGGAGGCGGAATACATGGAATACAATACATACAATTATCTCTCTAAGTATTATTCTGAGTGCTTTAATTATTTTCGGCTATCTATTAATTATTTTCCGGTGGATTTAGTGTTAGGAAATTGATGTAACGTACCTCGAAAGTACGGCAGCGGAAGTTTAAATTTTTCCCAAATAGATCTTCCCTGATTATGACAAAATAACGAATATGATAATAATAACAGATCTGAGTTAGAACTTACAGATCTTCCAGCCTAGCGGTGATAATCCTTGACCTTTGGTATCTACTGATTTCTCCTTTCCGAAAGAACGATTAGATTTCCCTAAGAGAAAGGCTAGGAAATCTCTTCGCAGGGAAATAAACTGGTAATACTGAATCTAGAAAACAGGTCTCTCAATTATGAAGGAGGAGAGTGTATTTATAGTAGTTCTAAACTAGTTTTCCAGTCACAATAAAAGTCTTTCTCATTAATGAGTTCTAGTCCTAACAGGACTAATGCTTATTAATGATTTAATCAATTAAATAAAACAAATAATAAACTATAATAATATTAAGGAAGGAGAGGGGCTGCACACGCCACCTCCCTTCTCTTATTATTATTTATTTATTATTCATTTCTTTTAATTCAAAATCAAAAGAAAAATCCATCTTTATTTAATTAAAAATACATCTTAATTAAGTATAATAAATCTAATTTATTTTACTTGATTAATTCTATCAAATAGAACTCTCCATCAACTTCATGAATTAAATATGTTTAATCTAATTAATATTTAATCTATTTCCAGTATTACGAATTAAATATTATTTAATCCAATTAATATTTAATTCCTTCTAACAATTCAATTAGAAGGTATAATCACTTGTTGTGTGACCCATAGGGCCTTATATATTAAGCACTAATCAAATTAAGGTCTCAGCGAATCCCTAGACGATTCTCCAGACAAACTTAATATATAAGGACGTTTGCGAGGACTATTCAAACTCCCTGTAATATAGAGCTCATAGCGATACGGTCCTTTCATTCAGCGAACATTCAACTAAGTCTAGAACATGATATTGTGTCTATCCCAATAACTCAGTCTCTTTCTCTCAATCTTTCTAGATGATCCATAACGATCATATTCGATATCCAAAACGAATATATCTTTGCATTGGCCAATGACTTTATGATCCATCTAGATATGAGAAGTAGAATGTTCTCTCTTAATCTATTATGAGGAATGAATCCTTTCTTGGCTCAACTACTACTCCATGTGCTTCATGATGCACCCAACACATGCCGTATCTACCCCGATTGGAGTGCAAGCGGTGGTCATGGTCAAAGTACATCACTCCGCACATGTAGTACGTATTGACCTCAAGTCGGAGGACTATTACACTACTCTATACGCCGATAATCCCATAGACACATGAATAGAACTTATCAAATGGTTTCTCGGTGGGTATGCCAATATTCTCTAAAATATCTATGTCACCATCATGAATTACAGGAACTCATAGTCGTGAGATCAACTATACTTTCTAAAAGTATGATGCAGTCCACATAGCAATCTTATCGCATATCATCAATATCCATTCTTGATAATCATTGATTGGGGCTATTTTAGGACCTTATGTTATATCATATAAGCTCCCACTTACTTATTGACAACATAAATCCAAGGGAACACAATTACGAATAAAACATTGACAATCGAAAAATAATCATTCATAAAGTGTAATACCGTGTATATATCAAATATAAAAACTAAATGTGATCAAGTACATATGTCTTTAAAAAAAATGATTATCGCTAGGACATATATACTAACAATCTCCCACTTGGCCTAGTGCCAATCACCAATGCGTCTAACACCTAGATTCTCAAAATGTCTAGTATGTTTCTCGCATCTCAAAGGTTTGGTGAAGGGATCAGCCAAATTGTCCTCAGTGGAAACACGTTCTATTGCAACCTCTCCTCTTGCTATCTGCTCTCGAATCACATGATAGCGCCTCGGCACATGTCCATTTCTCTTGTCGCATCTTGGTTCCTTTGCTTATGCAACATCACCAGTATTGTCACAATAAACGGTTATTGGACGATTGTCATTTGGAACAACCCCTAATTCTTTGAGGAATTCACGTATCCATACGGCCACTTTAGCTGCTTCTGATGCAGCAATGTACTCGGCTTCTGTTGTCGAATCAGCTGTAGTGTCTTGCTTGGAACTCTTCCAGTCTACTGCTGCTCCATTGAGATTAAAAACATATCCTGATTGTGTCTTATAGTCATCCTTATCTGTCATGAAGCTAGCGTCAGAGTAACCAGATGCTATTAGTTTCTCTTGTCCACCATAAACCAAGAAATATTCTTTAGTTCGTCTAAGATACTTAAGAATAGTCTTAACAACACTCCAATGCCGTTCTCCTGGATTATTTTGATATCGACCAACAATACTAAGCGCATAAGCCACATCTGGCCTAGTACAGATCATAGCATACATGATTGAACCAATTGCAGAAGCATATGGAATCCCTCTCATGCGTTTGATCTCATCATCAGTTGAAGGATTATCCTTCTTTGATAACGATATCCCATGACCCATCGGGAGGAATCCTTTCTTAGATTCTTCCATTTTAAATCGATGTAGTATTTTGTCAATATACGTGGATTGTGAAAGACCCAACATCATGTTAACTCAGTCTCTATAGATCTTAATCCCAAGGATATAACAGGCTTCACCTAGATCTTTCATCATGAAGATATTGGATAACCATTCTTTCACGAACTTCAATAAGGGGATATCATTCCCTATGATCAGAATGTCATCAACATATATGACCATAAAGACCACGCTATCCTTGCTGCGTTTTGTATACACACACGCATCCTCATTGCTTCTGATGAAGCCAAACGATTTGACCGCTTTATCAAAACGGATATTCCAACTCCTTGAGGCTTGCTTTAGCCCATATATGGATTTCTCTAATTTACATACTGATTTGGGATTTGACTTGGATATAAAACCTTCAGGTTGTACCATGTACACCTCCTCCTTGAGGTTTCCATTAAGGAAAGCAGTTTTAACATCCATTTGCCAAATCTCATAATCATAGTATGCTGCTATCGCAAGAAAAATTTGAATGGACTTGAGTTTTGCAACTGGCGAATAGGTGTCACTATAGTCAATTCCCTCTCTTTGACTATAACCTTTAGCCATTAGCCTAGCTTTGTATGTTTGCACCTTGCCTTCGGCATCAATTTTCTTCTTGAAAACCCATTTGCATCCAATGGGTCTAACCCCAACAAGCAAGTCAACCAAGTTCTATACTTGATTGATATACATCGAGTCCATTTCAGATTTCATGGCCTCTCGCCACCTCTCTGAATCAATATCTAATATTGCTTCAGTGTAAGTCTTAGGTTCATCCTTGTCAGGAATTTCAACATCATCATGATCCTCCATGAGGAAGCCAAACCTAGTTGGTTCATGACGAATCCTAGTAGACCTACGAAGTTGAATATTTTGCGATTGTTCAGGCTGCTCATTCTGATTGTGAAGAGGTTCTCTTTCATTGGACTGTCCAATGCTCGGAGAATTTTCTGGTGCTACACTTTTAAGTGTTTCCAGAGAAGGAGAAGTAGGTGCAGAAGGAATGACAACCATGTCATTTCCTTCATGCCTAATAGGAACCACTTGCTGGTGCGAGACGCTTCCTATATTACTCCCACTAGCTGAAGGATATCCTCCTAGAGACATACTTCCGCTTAATGCTCCCACTGAATCCTGGTTTTGACCATCTAACAAGTCTTCATCCTCTATGTTATTTTGTGATTCTTGAATTTCTTCTAGTACTATCTTCTCACGATTGAATTCCTTGAAGACCAAGTCTTCTTCTAGGAATCGTGCCTGTCTGGAAATAATGATTTTATGTTCCTCAGGATGATAGAAATAGTATCCCCTTTTTTCTTTAGGATACCCCACAAAATAACATCTCTCACTTCTAGCTCCTAACTTATCAGTGTGCAATTTCTTTACATAAGCAGGGCAACCCCACACTTTAATATGTGAAAGAACAGGCTTCTTATTACACCATAACTCATATGGTGTCTTTTGCACTGATTTAGATGGAACTCTATTCAGAATGAATATCGAAGTTTACAAAGCATACCCCCAAAGAGATGTTGGAAGAGACGTGCAATTCATCATGGACCTAACCATGTCTAACAAGGTTCTATTTCTCCTTTCAGAGACACCATTCAATTGAGGTGTTCTTGGAGGAGTCCATTGTGACTGAATTCCCTGACCTTTTAAGTAATCAAGAAACTCCTTACTCAAGTATTCCCCTCCACGATCAGATCGTAGAGTTTTGATACTCTTGTCAAGTGGCTTCTCTACTTCAGCCTTATACTCCATGAATTTCTCAAAAGCTTCTGATTTGTGTTTCATAAGATACACAAATCCAAACCTAGAGAAATCGTCAGTAAACGTGATGAAGTAAGAAAAACCTCCTCTAGCTTGAGTTGGGAATGGTCCACACACATCTGTGTGAACCAATTCAAGCACTTCTTTGGCCCGTAGTCCTTTTCCAAGAAAAGGTTTACTCGTTATTTTAGCTGAGAGACACGAATCACAATTACCATATGATTCAAAATCAAATGGTGTTAAGTAATTTAATTTACTTAACCTTGCTATTCTGGCTTCATTAATATGACCAAGCCGACAATGCCAAAGATATGTGGTATTTTTCAGATTACTTAACCTTGGTCTTTTATTTTGTACATTTAATATATCATGTCTACAACTAAGAACATATAAACCATTCATAAGAGGAACATTTCCATACACAATACCATTTTGTGAAAAACAACAAGTGTTATTAGCAAAATGAAAGGAAAAACCCTCAATGTCTAACATAGGAATGGAAATTATGTTCTTTGTTATAGAAGGAACAAAATAACAATTATTTAGTTCTAATCTATAACCACTGGGTAAATC